AAAACTGAGATATTGCATGATTGAAATTGGCAGTATTCTCAAGTAACCAGCATTTTAGAGCTATAAGCTTATCTAGATGAGCCACTCTCAACCCTGCTTTAGCCTGTAGGGTGGCACAAGAACTGATGTGAGAGAGACGGGGCTCATAAGTGTGCAAGGAATTGTGCCTAAATCACAACCTAACGTTTCTATGCAGCAGCCACTGAAAGTAGCCCTTAATGAGCAGAAATCTAAACACCATCTCTCAGGTGGGAAACCTCAAGAAAAATAGTTGGGAAGTGCTGCTCTAGGGAGGTTTCCCTACATAGCAAACAAATGCTATAGAAAATGTAACTACTTCTACTCCCTCAACTAGCAAAGGGGTGTTGGCTAAGCACCCTCCTGGCTTACTCAAACTTACATGAGTGCTAGTGAATAAACCAGAAGATGCTGGGTCTTATCTTTGAAAATGGTGCTATGTAAATATGAGATTTCATAATTCTCTTTAATAAGACAAATACCAACCAATACTGATGACTATGGAACTTTACAAGCAATGAGGGGAAAAAAAAGTCACCTTTGCATCTAGAATGAGGATAACTTATTCTGAATTCAACATATCAGAACTTGATGGAATGCTGGCAGGCAAATTCTGAGGTAGAATAATTTCTTTAATACCTTTCTTTGTTTTCAAATTATTAATTTACATACAGTATCACCGTATTAGCCCAACTGGACATTTCTAGCAAGCACTGTCACACACAGATTATTAGGTACTACTTGTGAAAGCACGCAGAAGTCCGACCCAGACATAGCTGTCTCAGTGGGGAGAGGGTCCAGTTATTCTCAGGTTTTGAGAAAAGGTTGCCAAAATAGCCAGTAGAGAGAGAGATACAGAGATCAAGAAACAGACAGAGACAGCAGCCAGCAAAATACTCCATTAAATCGCCAAGTCCTCAAGCCATCTAGTTCAGCTCCCTCAGCAACTGTTGAATCAGGCTCTAACTTCAAGGTAAAAAAAAGCCCAGCTATTCATTTTGCAATCTCCTCAAGTCATCTAGTCTTAAAAGAGAGGTGCTAGGGTTGATCTGATCTATTACTCTCCAGATTAAAAAAAAATCTTTAGAAGCATGCCACAGGTGTGATGAGAAAAGTATCCTGAAAAGTAGAAAGAAGAGTCTATATTTAAATGTCAAAAGCATGAAAGAAGTAGAATGAAAGAAAATCAGGGACAGGCAGCAGTTGAGGAAGCTGCAGACAAAGAGAAAATGGTGGAGGCAGGGGGTAGGGAGAAGTTTCCTTTTCCCTCTCCAACAAACCTCACAAAACTTGATTTATTTTTATTTGTTTGTTTGTTTGTTTGTTTGTTTGTTTTCAGAATCATGATTTCAGGCTTGGTTATGAAATAAGCCCCTTGTTTATTACACCCAGCTGGCATTCTGCTCTTTGCTTGAGCAGAGTTTCAAATGAAACTGGTAGTCTTGATATCACCATAAAAATTAGTGATAATAAAATTGTCAATGTCCCTAACTCCAACTTACATAATCCCACCAAAAGCAGCCACACTATCAGTAAGAGTGTAGAGACCAAAGAATTCTTTGTTTTAAACGCATGTACTTACACTAGACGAGAAAATTACTACAGGGAGGTAAAACACTTAAAAAAGAAAAATAAATGTGTCAGCAAATTAAATACATTATATCAAAGTTTACAGCTCAAAGAATGGAAGTCTGATGAGGCAAAATTTGCACAGGCATGAAAGCACCGTAAGTGACCCTGCAACTGGAAAGATGTAAGCGTCTTCAAAAATATATTTCACTGATGTTAACCTTTGGCCTAGCTGAGGGAGATACTCTGTGGACAACCAGGAGAAGAATTCTATCATTGCTACATCTTGCACATATTTCCAAATGGGGTATCACTCAGGGTGGCTATTTGGTCCTCAGGTTCTGATTACTGGTACCCAGACAGAGCTCACCAGCTACTTGCTGATGGTGAAGAAAAGATGCTTCTTTCCAACATATTGACCCTGTAGGCCTACGGACAGAGAGCATCAGTCACAAAGCAAAACTCTGCTTTACAAAACAGACAAACTGCTCCTTGCAAGACAGTCATAAAAAGCTGCTTGATAACTGCAGAGGGGAGAGGAGATGGAAAGGGGAATTAATAAAATGACTTCTTTTGAAATAACTAGTAGAGAAAGGCAGGAATTGCCAATTTCAAAGCACTACTAAAATACTACCTATTATGAAGCCAGAACAAGTTACCAATAGAAAAATTTAAATATTCTTTTTTGCATATAGATAATTTATTTAAACCCCAACTCTAATTCCTGCACAGGCTCCCCTTGGTTTCATCTCTTAGAATAAATATTTGTCATATCATTATGCTGGTTGCTGGGATATTAAGGCCTTCTGTCAAAAGGGACAGTGGTCAATTAACAAAATTGTAGTCTTCTTCGAACTCTGAGAAAAGACAGTTCCACAAAATATTATCAGAGTTTCACACAAACCCTATCACTTTTTATTATTCCTTCTGTTCAAACAACATACTGAAGTAAGTAAAAATAAATAAAAGACCACCTTAGACCTCTCTCCTTTCAGCAGAAACATTGTAGATGTATAAGAACACAGAGTTATTCTAGAAATTACTAAAGTTAAAAAAATACAATTAAATAATGGGTATGAATATACACACACAACTGGAAAAGGGCGGAATCCAACAGATTATTAGAAATCTCTAGAAGGTTGAGATTTTTAAGTTGGCATATAATGTATGCAATGCAGAGAGGGTGGAAGCTCTAGCTTCGGCTAAAAAAAAAAAAAATCCCTTCCCTTTCACCAAATTGTGTCCCTACAAAGTGAAGGAAAGAAAAGGAAAGTAAGAAAATGTCAACTTTTAGATTGAGATTTGCTGAATTCTGATGAAATTGATAAATTATCAAAAAACTGATTCTAACTAGTTGAGGTCATTAATTTATGCAGGTCTTTGTAATAGAGAAGTTTTTCCATGAAGACGTGGCATAAAATCACTTAGTTTACTGCACACCTGATGGGAAGAACTTTTTGCTTTCTATAGCCACTTCCTGAAAATTTATGTCTTTGAAAACACACAACTCTTAACAAATATGTGGACTCATTCATCTCTTCCCTGTTAACTGAGTTACTTGGGGATCAGAGGCAGCATACAGAAGAGGGAATGTTCCAGTGACTGAGGAGGTCATGAAGCACCTTAGATAACCCCCTCCTAAAAGTTCACAGTAGAAGAGAGTCCCACTGACTAGCCACAGCCCTAGAAAAAAATTATACTCTAGCAAGTAAATCTGTTCTTATAAAATGAAGACCTTTTGTTCCACAGTATAACCACATTGCAATTAAAAAAAAACTTAAGTTAACTGGAAAAGACTGACAATATAAATTAACCCTTTGAAAATCCTGTAAGCCAAATCTTAAAAATCTAAAAAAAAAAATGTAAAGCCTGGTTAGAAGGTGTTTTTTCAATAGCCCTGAAAATAATAGTTTATGAAATCCTATCCTCCTCTTTCTTTCTTTTTTAACACTGTACTATCAACCTTCCAAGAATAGAAGCATCAGTGAAAGGAGGCAAATTGTTGTATTTAGGTCTCCATACAAAGATGTTAAGGCTAACACATTTTGGGAAAGTCACAGATAAAAGAAAATAGCTACAGAAACACAGAATAAGGCACAAGTCCATGAAGACATCAGCACCCAGTAGATCTGAGGAGTTAGTTCCTCAGTCAGTATTCCCTCTCTCCTGGAGATAAATTAATATCTTAGTTTGCTGGGGAAAAATATCTTCAACATGGTCTCCAAAAAGCTTAACTGTGGTAAGGAAGAATTATTAATAGGCAAGACAAAATTGACTGCCACTTTTCTTGTGTCCTAATTAAAACTGGACAAGATTATCGATCATAGGTCCCTAACAGTTTTTACTCAATTTGTTAGAGGTAACATATCATGTTTTAAAATGTAAGCATGTTCTTAAAATGAAGGAATATACTGAAGAGCCTTATTCCTCTCTCACAAAAGCAGATTTCTGAGCACACCGGAATAGCAGGAAATCTTTGACAAATTTTTCCCAACACTTTTATAAGCCAGACTTAAGTCTGGTTAAATTGTTCGTTAAAAGAACGTTACCCTCTTTATAAATCTAATGCAAATTTGAAGTAGGGAACTGTGGATTACAACAAATCCACAGAGAAAATAAGCACTTTACAAGAGAAAATCAACCCAAGCATTTAGTTCCAACATAGTCCACCTGTGAGGGCAAATCCTGCCCATTGTTTACCAGGAAAGTTGTCCTTTGCTTTTCCCCTACCTTTGCCTGCTCTAACCGTGCCTGGCTGAATTCTCTCTGCTGACCTCCAACCCTGTGGCAAGTCCTCAGTTGTTGCCAGTAAAGGGACTTCACCCCTTCTTCACACAGCAGCCCTCAGAACCCAGAGACCACATTCTTCCCATAACCCCGTACTCCACTTCATCTCTTTGGAGGAGGCGGGTTGAGAAAAGCTTGGGCCAGTCATTTTGCTTCTTGTCTGCCAAGACCATCCACAGGCTGGGACAAAGCCTAACAGAACTTAAGAGGAGAAAGTGCCCATATTTCTTGTCCAGGTTATCAGATTTGGGGGAGGGAAGAAGAAAAAGTAATGGAGGGCTTTATTTCAGAATGTGGCCCTTGCGACTGGATTTAAATTTGGACCCTATGGGACATGGCCTACCAAGCGGCAGGGAAGATTTTAACAAGCTGGGGGACGGGGTTGTCAAGGAATCTGGAAGGGCTTGCACCAGCACCCAGGGCTCAAAACGGTGGAGATTAGGACACACATTGGGGATTCAGAGAGGGAAGGTCCAATCTTTGGTAGGCCAGGAGACCAGGGAAGGCTCCAGATTTAGGGCGGCCTTTTCTATTGAACCCTGTTGAGCTCACCCAGGAAGAGTGTTCGCGCGGGAAGGATAGGACTAACTCCAGGCGTAAGGGCATTTTAAAGAAGAGAAACTTACCGCATGTCCCCATAAGGTCCAGAATAGCTCTCCATCCAGGGGCCCATCTCGCTTTTGACACAACTTGGACTTGGATAGGGCACTCTGCTCACTACGCCGCCGGAATACCACACATCGGGTGGGGGGAAGTCGCCTTCTTGGCCCGCCAGCCCTTGAGGTGGCCGAGTGTAGCCATACGGGGCTATAGTCCCTGCCTCGCCTGCGCTGCCACCCCCACCTCCGCCACAGGGCCCATACAGCTGGCCTTCTTCGGCTGTGAAGAGAGTGTGCCAGGAAGAGGAGGCGGCGGCTGAGGGTGAGCCTGAGCCCGGTCCTGCTGCACCCCCGCCGTGCAGGCTCGCCAGGTCCCCATAGCGGCATTGCGCCGCCGCGGCCGCCCAGGCGCTGCCATAGTCCAGCGGGTTCTCTAACTTGATGCGGGCATGAGGATGGGGAGGTGGCGGAGGGGGCGGGGGTCCGGCCAGGGCTAGCGGAAAGTTGTAGTAGTCGCGACTCTGATAAGCTGCTACCTCGTCCAGTGCTCCAGACTTGTAGAGAGACAAGGTGGATGGCAGCTCAAGCGTTCCGGAGCCTCCTGCTTCGCTGCTGCCAGAGCAGCCCAGGCTCTCACTGTCCGGCCCTTTGGTGTAACCTGCCTTGAAAGGGGCATACTCAGCATTCTCTTCGGTGCCCTTGCCTGGGCCATCACCCAGCAGAGAACCTTTGCATTCGGCCAACGGGGCACAAGGAGTAGGACGCACAGCTGGCGGAACTCCCAGGAGCGGGGCGTACATGCAATCCCCCCGAAGCTGTTCCCCAGGACTCAGATGCTCCAATGCCTCCACACCCAAGCCCATGGACACCGACACTGCCTTACACAACTCCTTGGCGCTGTCCGAGATGGTTGAACTACCCCCTAGGTAACTGTCCTTGGAGGAGATGGGAGCCCCAGTGGCCTCCCTCGCTCTCCCGCTGCTGCTGCCTTCGGATACCGATTCCTGCTGCTGCTGCTGCTGCTGCTGCTGCTGCTGCAGAAGTTGCATGGTGCCGGCCTCGCTCAGGATGTCTTTAAGATCAGCGGAGCAGCTGCTTAAGCCCGGGAAAGTGGGGCCCAGCAGGGACAACGTGGATGGGGCAGCTGAGTCATCGTCGCCCGGAGGTGCTGGCCGTTGCTGCTGCAGCCCCTTGCCTGTGGCCGAGGCAGCTCCCGGCCCTGGGACGCAGCCGCTCTCCGGGTGGCCCTCGGGGACTGACTGCTGTTGTGAAGGCTGCTGTTCCTCGTCCAGGGCCAGGTAGCCCGTGGGGCCTCTGCTCTGGACTTGTGTAGAGCCATCCTCACCCTGCTGCTGCTGCTGCTGCCGCTGCCGGGGACTGGTCTCCTGCTGCTGCTGCTGCTGCTGCTGCTGCTGCAAACCGGCGCCGGGAGGTGCTGCGCTCGCGGCCTCAGGGTGCCGGGGACCCGGGTTCTGGATCACTTCGCGCACACTCTGGAACAGGTTCTGGAAAGCTCCTCGATAGGTCTTGGACGGCGGCCGAGGGTAGACCCTCCCCAGCCCTAACTGCACCTCCATCCTTGAGCTTGGCTGAATTTTCCACCTAATTCCTTTATCTTGCCTCCCCTTCTCTTGCTGAGAAGAGTTCAACAGGCTGAGATGCGTAGTCGCTGCAGCTAGTTGCCCACCTGCAGGAAGCTCCTGGAAAGGAAACTTGCAGGAATAACCACTCAAAAGCGTTCTGACAGCCTCAAAGTCTCGTGAAGAGGGAACATGCGCTGGACACGATATTCCTTGGTAGGCTCACAATCTGTTCCTGAACACTTGGAGGGTAGGTTCAAAAGATGCTCAAATCTTGCAGGGGAGTGGGGAGGAGGAAAACTCTCCGCCTTCAGAATTCCGTGTCCACTGAAGCAGGTGCAAATAAGAACCAGGTTATTTTCTTTTTGTTTTGTTTGGGTTTTGTTGTTTTTGTTTGGGTTTAGGTTTGGGTTTTGTCTGTTGCTTTTTGTTTGTTTGTTTGTTTGTTTGTTTGTTTTCTTTTTCTATTTTTTTGAGGGGGGCGGGGGTTGCTACTTAAGTCCTGACTGCCTTTTCATCGTTTGATCTCTGGCCCCACAAACTGGTGGGAGTAGGGAGCGGCGTGCAGTGGGAGGTGGAGACGGAGTGAGAGGAACCTGGGGGTTCGCCCTGCGTACCGCCTAACCGGCCAGATTCTGGCTGCGGTGCTGAAGTGGCTCCCCGGTCTCCTGGCTCCCCAGAGCAGTCTTCGCAACGTGCAGCTAGCTCGCCTGCTCCCAGCCAAAGGGAGTTACCTCCTGCAAACTCGGGCTGGCCGCGCTGGGTTGACTGGGGGTGGGGGGTGGGGTGAGGGGTCAGAGAGGAGCGGGCGGAGGCAGCAGCAGGAGAGGAGACCCTGGGGGGGGGCGGGTGGAGGGGAGGAGGACAAAGGCAGCCGTCAGTCCTACCCGGCACTTTCTTCGCTTCCTCCAAGTCTGTAGCAGCTTTTAAAAACTTCACCGAAGAGGAGAGGGCAGCTCCGGGGCGGCGGCTTCGAAGCCGCCGCGCTGCAAGAGGCGTTGGCTGTCGCCAGAGCCGGCTGAGGTTGACGCGGTGCGTCCCTTCGGCTCCTGTCCCGCACTGAAGCAGCTAGCTCGGTCGCTTTCCTTCTGTCGCCTTCTCTACCTTCAGGCTTGCTCCGGACCCTCCGGCTCTCGCAATACGCTGGCTCCCCGGGATCTCGGAGGGGGCGCTGGGAGGTGGAGAGCAAATGCAACAGTTTGCGAGTCGGGTCCCGCCCCCGCCGGGCCGGCCTCCTCGCCTTCCCACCTCCTTTCTCCCTCCCCTCCCCTTTCCTTTTCTCCCCTCCCCTCACTGCGCGCTAACGCCGGGTGGCTTCGGAGAAACAAGTGCTGGCGCAGCGTGGGTGAGGGCAGGAACGGATTGCTCTAGCCCAGGAAGACCCCAGCTCTCTGAGTACCTCCTGCTTTCCTGGACCCGGTTTTAGGCGCCAGGGCTGAAGCTTTAATCCGAAGCTTTTTTTTTTTTTTGAGGGCTACCGCTCTCTTGGAGGCCAGTACTTACCAGATTTGGTTCTGAAGTCCAATCTCAAACAGACATTGTGCACGTGTGGGAGAGGGGAGGGAGTAGGGGCGACAGAAGTTTAAGGGAGCTAGGGGATCTTGTTCAGCGAAGGACTATGTTCAAGGCAGGCACACAGAGAAGCACAGACGGGAGGTTCTGTACAGACTGAGGAACAAGGTATGACCAAGCCAGCCTATACTTGTTGAAACCTTTCAGATTTTTCCATAGGATGGGCCCCATTGCATGGTGCCAGTTGCTCCAGGAACCCTCTGCCTGGGAACTAGAGGTAATCTCTCTCCTCTTCTCTTCTTTTTTTCCTGTCTGGAATTGCCTCTAATAACACACTTCTCACCCATCCAGACATACAAAGGCAAGATTACCCAGAACAAAAGGCAAACACGTAAACACCAGAAACACTTGTCATGCACATAGAAACTTCGATTTTGTGCAGGGTTTTGCCGGCATTTTCCTATATACAGGCGTTTGCTTTTCCAGTTTGCCTTTGCATATTTTAAGCTTGCAAATGATATTATTCAAGAAATGGAACCTACATAGGACTGCTTTTCTTCCTCTTGATGTGCGGTAGGAGTGGCAAGTGATGTGGGCTATTGCAATTGTTCCTTTTTGGAGGAGGTCCTGTCTTCCCTGTGTAAAGATGGAAAGGCAGGTGGGAATGGAAGAGTAGAGAAAGCAGAAGGGTAGACCTATAAGGAAGGAGGTTTCCCTTTGTGTCAGCAGAGGACCTGGACCTCCCTAGCTTTGAAATTCCTTAGACTTTTGGATCTGCCGAGAGTCTGTCTGTCCCAGAAGACCAGTGGGGCAGTAGTCTGGGCCTCTTCTGCTTTTTACAGGTTTCTACAGAGTTTCATCTTGTTCCCAGCCAAGCGTCATGGGAATTTACTTACCATGACTGGAGGAAGTAACTTTATCCTAAAGGCAAGGAAGAGTAGGCATGGTCAGCTCTATTTTCCAGATAAAGACATTGAAGCAAGGACATAATTTGTTCTGTGTTCCACTTTAGTAGACCCTAAACTAGTCTTTCATCTCATTGTTGTTTGAGCTAGTGTTAAGTGCACTTGGAAAAGGGCTATAAATGAACTTTTCAGAATACAAAAACCTGAGGAGCTTTTTTACCTGGGGAAGTGAAAAATTAACTTGTGGAATTTTAATGACTTTACCCCTGCCTGGACATATCCCAGATATACCCCCTTTGTTGGTAAAGAATCTCCCAAATTACCCCATCTAGTAAAGAAGCAGTCTTATTCATAAAGATGTCAAATTGTAACAAGGCTAATTCTCAATTCCCTATTGTAATGGAAAACAGGAATATGTAACTGAAATGCACAGATACTTTGAAAATCTTATTTAAATAGTCACCACAAGCTTTAGTTCCACTAAAGCTTTTAACTAGGGTTGCTCAAAAGGGATTAAGTAAATTGGGCTGGCGGAAAAGTGGAATGGAAATAACATAGGTCTCAAATCAAGGAGAAGTTTGTCTACAGGTGGACAATTAATCTCTTCCTCTCACTCAGCTTCAATTTCTTGCTCTGTGAAATGAGGAGGGGAGGAGGTATGTAGAGGCTGGACCAGATGGTCTTTCAAACACTGACAATTTAGAGTGCTGTGACCGACTTGACTTTTGTTACCTACACTCTATAGAGGGTGGGAATAGAGAGGGGCTGCTAGTGATAGTGAAAACAAACAAATGAACAAACAAAAACAATGGACGGGGTGAGGAGGGTATTTACAAGCAAAGAAGCCTGAAAAATAAGTGGGAAATAATTATTCAAAGTTGCCCAGTGGATAAATGGCAGCTCAATTGCCATTCAAAACCAGGTCTGAAGAATTTCAAAGTTCATATTGCTTCCACCAGGCCAAAATTGTCTTCACAGTTTTCTTATCAGAAACCTATGGCCAGTAATATGTACCCTCAGAAAGCTCATGTGATAATTAAAAGAGATCATGTGTATGGAACAACTTTATAAACAGGAAAGCATTGTACATATCTGAAGGATTACTTTGTTGTTAGGTTTCATTTTTAAAGGTGGTGCCATCAACATTTATGTCATTTTCGGAGAAGACTAATTACTGTGAACATAATAGGAGCATATACTGTATTTTGAATTTTGAACTCTGATTTTTCCGAGCTCCTTGCTCTGGAAAACCAGGATAAACTGACCTTTGGAAAATGGTGAACATTCTCCAAGTCCTGTGGGCTTATTTCCTAAATATCTTACAAATCTGCCTACTTCTCTTCATCTCTGCTACTGACTGTCTAGTTCAAGACACTGTCCTTTCTCACCTAGACCACCATAAATGGTGTCCCTCCTTCCACTCTTACTTTCTTGAAGTCAGCTTTGCACTGAGCAAAGCAGAGGGACTTTTTAAAATTAAGACTTATTTTTAGAGCAGTTTATGTTCACTACAAAACTAAGGGAAAGTCACAGATATTTCCCATGTACCCCCTGCCTCCACACTTGCATAACCTCCCTCACTATCAACATTCCCACCACAGAGGTGCACTTGTAACAATAGATGAACCTACAGTGACACATCATAATCTCCCAAAGCTCATAGTTTGCATTAGAGTTCACTCTTCATGATGTACATCTATGAGTTTGGACAAATGTGTAATGACATGTATCTATCATTATCATATCATACAGAGATTTTTCACTGCTCTAGAAGTCGTCCGTGCTCCACATATTCATCCCCTCTGCCCCTTGGCAACCACTGATCTTTTTTACTGTCCCAATAGTTTTACTTTTTCTAGAATGTTGTGTAGATGGAATCATACAATTTGTATTGAATGAACCATACAATATGTAGACTTTCAGATTGGCTTCTTTCACTTAGTATTATGAATTAAAGGTTCCTCCATGTCTTTTTATGACTTGATAGCTCATTTACTTTTAGTACTGAATAATATTCCATTGTCTGGATGTACCACAGTTTATTTACCCTTTCATCTACTGAAGGACATCTTAGTTGCTTCCAAGTTTTGGCAATTATAAGTAAAGCTGTTATAAACATCATGTGCAGGTTTTTGTGTCAATATAAGTTTTCAGTTTGTTTGGGTAAATACCAAAGTGCATGATTGCTGGATTACATAGTAAGAGTATGTTTATTTTTTTAAGAAACCATCGAACTTCTCCTCAAAAGTGACTTTACCATTTTGCATTCCCACCAATAAAGAATGAGAGTTCCTGTTGCTCCACATTCTTACCAGCATTTGGTGGTGTCAGTGTTCCAATGTTGGTCATTCTGGTAGTGGTATCTCATTGCTGTTTAAATTTCTACTTCACATGTGGCATATGATGTGGACCATCTTTTCATATACTTGATTGTCATCTGCCTATCTTCTTTGATGAGGTGTCTGTCAAGATCTATGGCCTACTTTTAATCTGGTGGTTTGTTTTCTTATTGTTGAGTTTTAAGAGTTCTGTGTATATTTTACATAACAGTCCTTAATTGATGTGTCTTTTACAAATATTCCCTCCCAGCTGTGGCTTGTGTTCTTATTCTCTTGAGATTGTCTTTCACAGAACAGAGGTTTTTAATTTTAATGAAGTCTACTTTATTAATTCTTTCTTGTATGGATTGTGCCTTTGGTGTTCTGTCTAAAAAGGCATCACAACTCTCAAGCTCATTCGGGTTTTCTCCAATGTTATTTTCTAGGGGTTTTATAGTTTTGCAATTTATATTTAGGTGTGATCCATTTTGAGTTAATATTTTTTTGTCTGTATCTAGATTCATTTTTTTACAGCACCATTTATTGAAAAGAGTATCTTTGCTCCATTTTATTGCTTTTGTTTTTTTGTCAACAATCAGCTGATTATATGTATGTGGGCCTATTTCTGGGTTTTCTATTTCAGAGGGATTTTCTAGAACAGCCATATTAAGGTATTATTGACATACAAAAATATACACATATTTAAAGTTGTTCAAATTGATAACTTTTATCTTATGCATATACTCATGAAGCCATCACTTAATCAAGATAGAGAAATATCCATCACCCCAAGGAAGTGCCCCTTTACACTTCCTCTCTCCGCCCCTCTCCACATTCCCCTTCTGGCAATCAGTGATCTGCTTTTTTGTCACTATAGATTAGTTTCCATTTTCCAAAATTTTATATCAGTGAAATCATCATTTTTTGTCTGGCATCTTTCACTCAGCATAATGTCCTTGATATGCATCCAAGCTCTTATGTATATCAGTAGTTTGTTCTTCTTTATTGCTATCCCATTGTATGAATGTATCACAGTCTGTTTATCCATTAGTTTGTTGATGGAATTTGGGTTCTTTACAATTTTGGGCTATAATAAATAAAGCATTATAAACATACATACCTACATCTTTGCATGGACATAGTGCTTTTATTTATCTTGACTGTATATTTAGTAGCGGAATGGGTGGGTCACAGAGTAGGTATATATTTACCTTTTTAAGAAACTGCCAAGCTGTTTTCCAAAGTGGTTGTACCAAATGCCCAGTAGCATTTCCTCCACATTCTCCCCAACACTTGGTATGGTCAGTCTTTTTAAATTTAGCATTATAATTTCATGTGGAGGTATTTCTCATTTAATTTGCATTTTGCCAATGAATTGTGATGTAAAGCACCTTTCACATGCTTATTTGCCATTTTTATATTTTCTTTGATAAAGGCTTTGCTCAAATTTTTTGCCTATTTAAAAAAAATGGGCTGCTTGTTTTTTATGGAGTTATTTTTAAAGTTATTTACATATTCTAGATACAAGTTCATTATCAGAAATATGACTCACTAATATTTTTTCTCATTTTGTAGTTTGTCTTTATTGTATTACAGTATCTTTTTGAGAACAGA